TTGGCCTCATAGCTTAGAACATAGATGGGAGGAGAAAACAGAATAGAATTCTGGGCGGAAGAGGAAGTGAGGTCAGACTCTGCTCTGCTTCCAGAGGGACCGAACAGCTCTGCTCGCTGGAGCAGAGACACCATGATGGACGGAGGCTAGAATCTTCCCGGTAAGCGCACCTTGGGGTGCTTACACACATCATAAGAAATGGGCTAGTACAGGTGTGAGAATTAGCCTGTAAGGGCTAGAGTTCATGGGCCAAGCAGTTCTTAAATGATTACAGTTTGTGTGTTGTTATTTTGGGCATGAGGTAGCCAAGCGGCCGGGGTGTTGGGGACTCAGCCCCGCTGCCGCTCTTATTTCAATAGTACCTTATAGAAGCAACTTTAAGAAAGGAAGACATATCTGGGATTATGTTTAAGAAGGGATGGAGCACATTATGGTGGCAGGATTGTCAGGTGACTGGTCACATTGCCTTCACAGTAGGAAATAGATATAAATGTTGGTGCTCATTCTGTCTTCTCCTTTTTCCATTTATGTTAAATTCAGAAACCTAACCCATGACATGGTGCCACCAGCACTCTGGGCATATCTTCCCTTCTTGGATAAATTTTTCTGGAAATATCTTTACAGATTCACCTAGAATTGCTTCTTCTAATCACCCCCAAATCCAGATGAAAATGAAGACAAGTCTATCTTTTCTCAACCAGACACCTTAAACTGTAACATCTACCCTTTGTCGTCAAGGGTTCAATGGCCATCTCATAATGTATCATGAAACATACTAAATACATTTCATCATGTAATAAAAGATGCCAACTGAAAAAAAAGTAGCTTCTGATGGGGGTTATGGACAGACACAAAGGAAAACAGCCACATATTAGATAGTAAGAAACGTATTAATCTATTCAAGCAAGGCAACTATAGCTTGTATAACATGTATGATTAGAGTCCCCAGTTGATGATAATAATGAACTGTTATTGGCCAATATCCGCCTATTTTCTGCACAGACCAAATAGACTTAAATGGACATAAGGTTGGAGCCACCACTCCTGTGGCCTTGATGGTGGCTCTCATCCTCATGATCTCTCCGGGGATTCAATAATGGCTCTGCTTCACTGTAGTCCCAGGTAGAGGCATCTCTAATGGCTTCCATTTGGCTGCTTCAATCTTAATAGACTCTCACTAAGTACTAATGTGCTTGTGCACTTGGGCACTGATCCCGACTCACCCAGGGAGTGAGATCTGAAGGCAGCTAAGTTACGTGAGGGACTTAGGGAAGCCATGTGCCTGCTAATTTCTAAACTTTAAACTAGTGGCCTTGAAATTTTAGTGAACATCAGAAACATCTGGAGGATTTTAAGGCATAGACTAGTGGGCCCACTTCTGGAGTTCTGGTTGACAAGTCTTGTGGGGGAGGAGGTCTCCTGAGCTCATCTTTGGGTGGAGATGATGGAGGCAATCAGTGCCAGGACACAGAGAAGATGGAGAGCTGGGCTTTCAGCATTTTTGTGTGTTTGTCTACCTTTATATCAGTTGTCAGAATGGTTTTTCATCTGTTGACAGAGGTTTCTGTTCTGTTCAGTCCTGTAGTCATTCAGTCCCAAAGAAACACACAGAGGTCTACATTAATCATAAACTGGTTGTCTTATTAGCTCAGGCTTCTTATTAACTCTTACATCCTATATCAACCCATAATTCTTGTCTATGTTAGCCATGTGGCTTGGTACCTTTTATCAGTGAGGTGTTCTCATCTTGCTTCCTCTGCATCTGGGTGACAACTGTGGACTTAGCCTTTCCTCTTTCCAGAATTCTCTTGTTCCTGTTGCCCTGCCTATACTTCCTGCCTGGCTACTGGCCAGTCAGCATTTTAATAAACATGTACAAGAGACAAATCTTTACAGGTTACAAGACGATATATTTTTCTCTGATTTTTTTTTAAATAAAAGCCTCTTCTTGTTTGTCTGTCTATCTATCTTATCTATCCTATCTCTCTATCTCTATCTATCTATCTATCTATCTATCTATCTATCTATCTATCTATCTATCTATCTATCTACTATCTCTCTTCTGAATGTAGACTAACTCCAGGTTAGAGGAAACTCACCTGAAAAGAAGGAATCAAGGCTCATGCCAGCTTGTGGTTCTAAGTCAATCTGGGTTTAAAGTGTTGTGAGTAAAGATGAATAAATTTAAAAAGGTTACAGTGTGGCCTCTTATCTTTCAGCTATGTCCAGCCTGTGGCCCATGTGGCCCAGGGCAGCTATGAGTGCAGCACAGCAAAAAAATAATAAACTCATTAAAAAGTAATTTGGAGATTATTATTATTATTGTTATCATTATTATTGCTATTAGTTTGGCCTGTATGTGACTTGATCACACAGTTCTCCAGTATAATCTCTGTAAATGATAATATTTTTGCAGTATCAAGAGGTGGGACACTTGGATTGTCTTTTTTTCTTTGTTTCTTTTTTTTCTCTTCTTTTCTTTTTTTCTTTTTATCATGTGAGACTAACCTATGACTTGAGCTTTCCTGGTGTATTAAAAAAAAGCTTACCCCATAAAAAAACCCAAAAAACCAGTTTGCTCTATCTCAAATAGCTAAGTGGTTGAGGTCAGCTTAATGCCAGAACTTCAGAGTGGGGCAGTAGCACTTGGGTGTCACAAAATTCCTATGTTCTATGCATAGAGTAGGCTGTCATAATTC